AGACCTTATCTAGGTACTTGTGTTCTGTGTTGGTTTTGTGGTTGGTTTTGGCCACAAGCCTCGCAGCATATCAGCGCACAGATGCCAGGTGGTGAGTCAAGCGTGGGAGAGTGCTAATGGTACATCATGTGTATCAGCATTGATAAGCATGGTTATGGTTTAGCATCAGTTCACATCTATTTCTAGTCATTGTAGCTAATCCCTGTACTTACCTTCACATCGTGCGATGATAGAACACTGCGGCCTGTGGGGCAAACCAACAAACCAAGTGCTTCGCAGTTTGCGAGTGGGTGTCTTTAGTGCAGTGAAGGCCTGATCTCCAAGGAATGTGGAGATCTTCGCAAGCTAAGGGAATGAACGCGAGACTCGAGAGCTCTAACACGAAGGGGAAGTTGTATTATGCATGCTATGTGCGACTCTATATAAATCGGAGCTACGCGGGCATGAGGTAGTATGTATGGCGCAACCACTGATCGCTTTGTACGCATGGAGATCGTGCTTTCGATGCGATTCAGATTGCATCTCTACCATAGTGATTGCATAGTTTCCCTTTATCTTACAGATTATCTTACATTACATACATACTACCTCATGCCCGCATAGCTCCAATTTATATAGAGTCACATATAGCATGCATAATACAACTTCCCCTTCACATTGGAGCTCTCGAGCCTCACATTCATTCCCTTAGCTTGCGAAGATCTCCACAGTTCTTGGAGATCAGGCCTTCACTGCACTAAAGACACCCACTCGCAAACTGCGAAGCACTTGGTTTGTTGGTTTGCCCCACAGGCCACAGTGTCCTATCAGTGTATGTAAGGGTCTAGTATGGACAAATTAAAAGGATGAGTCCTACATAAACTACAGACTCATAATCTACCTGAAATGTGTGTTGGTGAACCCTAGTAGTCCTGTATGAAAATATTCTACATATATGAAAACTACATCCTCTATTTGCCTGTGAGTTGTGTCTTCTGCCAGTATTGGCATACAAATTCTAGGCCAGTGAAAAACCCAGATACTCCTATCTTCCTGCACCATTGACTATACTCATCTAGTGTCATTTCCTTTGATAAGCCTGGAGTTGAACAAAATTCAGTCCAGGTGGTTGAATGACGGAAAATGAACCAAATGAGTATTGTCACAAGATCTTCATGACTGCATTTGACAAGAGCAGTTGCTGGATGGGTCACATGACAAGCAGGGAGGTGATCTCCCTGGGGAAAATGGCAGAAGAAGCAGTATTCATACTTCTTGAAAATAAAGTCTTTCTTGAAGTGCATCCATCCATAACCATCTTTGAAAAATTGGCCTCCACACCCCATAAATGCCTTGTGTGGGTAGGTTAGAGTTTTGCCACCTAATAAAAAACAGACTGGGCATTTCCCAAGGAGAGTCTTGGCCATTGCATCCATGATAGTTGCATATTCCTCCTTCATTTTGATTTTATCATAGTAATGAGCAGTATCAAGTTGAATTGATATTGATGGACCAGTGTGGGATGTGTGATTGGCTGTGAGGGAGGGCCTGGAGGGAGCTAGTGGCAAACCATTTGGGTTGATTGATGGGCCAGTGTGGGGTGGATGATTGGCTGCGAGGGAGGGAGCCAGTGGCAGACCATTGGATGAAGAACTAGATGGTGGTTGGCTGAACTTTAGCATGGGAATAGTAGGTCTATGATCTGCTTTGTGATTGATGTCAGGGACAGATTTTCCTAGTTCAGCCCTCTCCTTGGATGTAGTTTTTTGTTGCTGAATCATACGTTGAATGGCATCCAGAGCTGGTATTTGAGGGTTGCATATATCACAATGCTCTGAACCAGGGAGATCTTTGCAGGAAACTGGGCAGCCATCCATAAGATCAGAGAGGCCAATACGGCGACATTGAGTGGTGTTGGTAAGCCATGCATTGCCTTCCCTGATACATTGGTAATCAGGATTCCCAGTAGGGGGAGCTTTTAGCTTCTTGGAATTGTTGATGACAAAAATCCAGGCTGGTTGTCCATTTCTTCCCCCACGCCCAGCAGCCTGGTAAATGTCAAGTAGCCCAAAGTCTTGATTTAGCATAATAACTGCTCCACAGTCAGGGTGGTCAATGCCATGGATCATTCCTGTGGTTGCAGCAATCCACTGTGCCTTGCCTGCAAGCCAAGATTTTTCATTGGAGCTGCGGAGATTATCAGGGAGCTTTGAGTGAGAGACAAGACACCCAGTTGTATCCCCAATGTCCTTTGCCTGGTCAATAGTTTTACAGAAGATAATTCCACCCCTCTTCATCATCTCAAGATGTGCAACAGTGAGGTATCTTGCCAAAGAAATAGCCAATTCATTGAGGTTTGTGGTAGTTGATTGAAGCATGATGACATGATAGCGAAGCTGGGGTTGATGTACAGGGGCTCGAATAGTGAGGGTAGATCAAGGAAGGTTCATGGCATCAATGAATGGTTCTTCCAGGCGCTTAGGCAGGGTTGCAGTGAGGAAAATCCTTTGGGTCTTGTATGCAGCTAGTTTGCCAAGTTTACCAAATTGAGTCCGGAATCCAAGACATGTTAAGGCTTGATGGCATTCATCCAACACTATTCTGGCAACATTTCGTCCATGGTCAGTCCAGAAGCTGAAAGACCAATTAGTTGCAAATATATGTATATGAAATTGCTGGCACATACCTATGAAAAGCTGCAGATATCACAGTCTCCATTGCCATGAAGACAACCTTTGATTGACTTGGTTCAAGTGGAGTATTTGCTATCCACTGGCAGCAGTGAATCCCCATCTTCTGAGCCTTTGATACCTGGTCAGCTAGTAGAGCCTTGTTTGGTGAAATAACAATAGTAATCCTTGTCTCTTGAAGAGATGGCAATAAATATATCAAGCTTTTGCCACCTCCTGTAGGGAGAATCCCAATACAACTGTGTTGATTTTGAATGGCTTCTTCCACTAGTTGTTGCTGTTGAGGAGATTTAAATCCAGCAGTGGGAAAGAGTTCTTGAAAGATAACAAAGGATTGAGCCTGTTGGGATAGGATGGGAGTTTGTTGGGACAGGGTGGGAGCTTGTTGGGATAGGGTAGGAACCTGTTGGGATAGGGTAGGAACCTGTTGGGATAGGGTGGGAGTTTGTTGGGTTAGGGTGGGAGTTTGTTGGGATAGGGTGGGAGCTTGGTGTGATAGGATAGCTATGGGAGGAGTTACCTCAGGGGATGAATCAATCTCATCAGCACCCTGTGGAGAATCAGGCTGAGAAAATGATTTCTGCTCCCAAAATTTATTTGAAATCTCCGGTGGCTCCCTGGAACTCCCAGGAAGAGGGTTGAATCCTTTTGACAGTAGGCTGTCAATATGCTTGGTTATCTGTGTTTGAATTTTCTCTACTGATTCCGAAATAATTGTGGCATTTGTTGTTGAATTCTGCCGTAGAGCTTCCATAAATCCTGTGGAAAAGATATGACCCATGTTTTCTTTTGTGCAGGCTTCACTCCTTCGGATCTCTGCTATGAGTGTGGAGCAGAGGTGTCCAATGTCCAATGCTGATGGCAGTATTGCTGGTGGTTGGTTGGGTGTACCTGCAGGGTATTGATAGGATGGAATAAATTTGTTCCTCACTTGGAGAGGTAATAATGGTGGATAATTTGGCCTAAATCCCACAACCTCCCACCAGGCTTCAGAAATACGACCATAGCGGAGCAAGAGGTCACTTGACATGCATGGGAGGTGCCCAAGTTCTGGAGCATAGCAGCGCCTTGATGTTGCAAGCCCATGCCCATGTTGGCCTGCTAGAACATCCTCTTCATGTTCATCAACCTCGTTTTCAGATCCAAGATATGTCCGTGCAACCTGGACCATTAAATGTCGATAGTCCCTTGGGCCAATGGGTATAAGACTGAATGAACCAGTGAAATTGGCCAACATTTTGCTGAATGTTGCTTCTACAAGTCGTTCGCCCATGTCCATGCAAAAGTATTCCTGGTATAGCTGAGCTTCTTCTGCACCCCAGATGGTAGAAGCAAATGATTGCTCCAGGGGTCGAATGAGGACTAGATATTTTTCCAGAAGTTTGTTGACACGGGGATTGGCCTTGATTGGGATGAAGACATCATGGTGGATCAGGGTCTCAAATTTGGCCCTTCGTGTTACAAACCAGAAGCCTTCTTCATCATGGAAAATTGTCCTTGGGCGGGTGGAATTGGCTATCTTGTGATCCACAAATTCAGATATACGAGGTGTTTGGCCACAGGTGGTGAAGATCAGAAGTGCTAGCTGCTTGTTAATCTTTGCTGCTGCCTCCATGAATGCTGTCATGGCATCCATCATGTTGACAAGGTTACCTCCCCCATCTAGATCAAATAATTTTTTCCCTTGTTCCAATAAAGACTGAAGAAGCGGAAGGGGTTTCTGGGTAAATGTCTTCTCATACATCCAGCTATAGCCCCGAGAGTCATTGGTCCAGTCATCAGGGGTTTGGTCTGGAATGGAATATAGCATATCTTGTCCACCAAATAATTTCAAGATTTGGTCTTCAATTTGGTTTGCCAGACGATCCAGAGCAGTAACCCAAGAAGGCACAGAGAGGGTTTTGAGGTCTTTACAGTGCCCCACCTACTCCCTTGGAGTCTCAAGGGAATCCCAGGGAATCCCAGGGAGTCCCAGGGAGTCCCAGGGACTCTATAGAATTACTTTTAGCAGTAGCCTCTGCTAATTCCCCCAGGGAATGGGAAGGGATTCCCTCGAGATTCCATATTCCACAGGGATTCCATAGGGAGTCTACAGGGAGTCTATAGGGAAACCTGTTTGGAAATTCCCAGGGAATCCAGGGATTCCATTGGGAGTAGAATTCCCTATGGAATTCCTTGGGAATCCCCATGGAATCCCTGAGAATGCCATATATCCCAAAGAGTCCATGTTGCTGAGGGAATTCACCAGGAACCCACAGGGAGTCCACCAGGAATCTGCAGGGAATCCACAAGGAATCCATTGGGGGCCCTAGGGCATGTGGAAAAAATACTAGCCTGCACCAGGAATTGAACCCGGGACCACAGGTTTGGTTATCCGAGCCGCATTAACCACTGAGCCATTAGGGCTTGAGTAGACAGGGTAATTAATTAATTATAAGGGCTGTGTGAGCGGACCAGCCACCCGGCTCGCATCCGATCGGTTCCGACTATCCGGTACCCGGTTAACTCGGCTAATACCGGCTAATTCGGCTAACTCGGCACCCTTGACACCTGTCACCACCCTGATCCCTTGACGCTGCCACGTCGCATTCTTTCTGTTCTCTTTCTTGCTTTCCCCCCCATTCTGCCCAGCCTCTCTGCACGAAAACCGCTCGCTCGCCCAATCGCCCATGCCGACAACTCGCAACAAGGCCGGCGGCGCCTCACCGCCACGCTCGACCCGAAGCGGCCTTGTCCGCACCGCCGTTCCCACCACTACGCGGCGCAAACGCCTTGCGTCGACCGCGGACCAGCCCAAGAAGAAGCCCCGCACCGACGACTCGAGCGGGGACGAGGACGCAGCCTCCGCCGAGCCCTCCCGTCCACAGGCGAGCGGCGCACGCAAGCCCCCCAGGCCTCCAAGGCGGTGAGTCCCCCACCCCATTCCCCATCCCACATGCCCATCCCCTCCCTTATCACAGGGCAACCACCGCTGACCGGAATGCCGCCGACGCTGAGGCGGATGCGGCCGGGGCATCACGTCCCCCCACCCGGTATGTCCCATCCCACCTCTCCTCCCTCCCTGTCGTGCTGACAGTTACGCAGGACCGAGCGGGAGCTGGAGGCCAGCGGGGTCGCCGTTGCCCCCCCCGCACGGAGCCGCTCTGCGGCTGTGGCCTACCAGCCGCCGCCGCCCGCTACACTCAGCCCACGACGCCGCCGCTCCGACCTCCCCGACCCCCAGTCTGGAGCTAACGACAACGCCGCCGCCACTCCGAACCGCCCCTCGGGCAAGTCCGGCACCACCAAGACCGCGCGTGGCGCCGCCGACACCCACCAGCACGCCGTCGGCACCACCACCACTGGGACCACCACCACTGGGACCACCACCACCAGCACCACCACTGGGACCACCACCACCGGCACCACCACCGACACCGCCGACAGTGCCGCCACCAACCGCTCCGCGGGTAAGTCAAGCACCACCAAGCCCGCGCGCGGCGCCACCGACACCGCCGACAGTGCCGCCACCGCTAACCGCCCCGCGGGTAAGTCGACCACCACCAAGGCCACGCGCGGCGCTGCCAGCACCACCGGCATGACCACCGACACCGCCGACACCGCTAATCACCCCGCGGGTAAGTCAGGCACCACCAAGCCCGCGCGCGGCGCCGCCAGCACCACCACTGGCACTGCCGACACCGCTAACCGCCCCGCGGGTAAGTCGACCACCACCAAGCCCGCGCGCGGCACCGCCGGCACTGCTATTAAAGCCACCATGCCTGATGAGGACGAAGATGAAGATGAGGACGAAGATGATGGTAAGCACCCTGGGGATCACGATGAGGCCCACGAGGACGATGAGGACACCAAGGCCCCCAAGGATGACGAGGACGGTGAGGCCCCCGAGGACGACGAGTCCCCCGAGGATGATGAGTCCCCCGAGGACGATGAGGACACCAACACAGAGTATACTGACGAAGCCGAGGCTGAGGGTGCTGGGGACACTAGCACTGGTGATGACAGTGAGCCCTTTGTGCCTTGGCGCCACACCTCCTGGCAATATGGTAAGGGTAGGGATCATATGGATTTGGGTGGTAAGATTTTAATGATACATGTTGATCATTCATTTATTTCATTGAATAATAAGATAATTTTGTGAATTCCCCTCCTGGACATTCTGATGGAGCTGAGCCAGATGAAGGCAAGTCATGCAACTTAATTAAACTAGTTACCTTATTTTTATTATATAAATTAGACATGCCCCTCTATGGTTCTTCGAGGACTACAGGTGGTATCCTCCGTGGTCGGGCACTTGGTAATGCACCCAACTATGCTGATTATCCAGACATTGGATCAGCTGGGAGGGTGCTGGTCTATGTATCAAAGGCCAACCCTGCAGAGGTAGACCCTGGCACTACTAGGGTTACCACCACCATCCGACACCCAACTACCAAGACCATTGGCCCTGTTATTAGGGAATTGCATAGGCGATTCACACCCATCCAAAGTAAGTTATTGATGTTATTAGTATTGTAATTTATTGTAAGACTAATATATGTAAATAGCTGAATGTATTTATGTGTTGGAAGGTGATCTCTGGGGAGTCAAGGGAAGGTATAATGATGCCTTGGAAATGGATGATGAGGTAGACTGGATTTGGGAGGGAGAATATTTATGTTCTCCGATTACTTGTGGTAATGTATCAGAGTTTAACCTATATGTTTTGCTAATTGTTGGTTGATTCTTAGAGCCCCTTTGGTGCTAGTGCTCTATCAGCCCCTTCACTCCCTGGGTCTTCACATGCTTCCTCATCTGCTGCCTCTTTACCTGCTCAGGCCCCTGCTGAGTCCAAGCCCAGGGTTGATGATGTTAAGGAGTATCATCAGCAGCTTGCTTCTCTTCTTGAGATTCCTTCTAGTCTCACAGATAGGGATGATATTACTCTCCCCCAGGCATTTGCCAAGTATACCACATATCATGAAGCTTATCAGCGGTATTTGGCTTTAGCTAGTGCTGGGGAGTGGCCACTTGGGCCTCTGAAACAACTTGACCTGGTTGAGGTCTTTGTTTCTAAGACCACATGGTATAGGGATTATGCCAAGGTCTTTCCCATGGTAATGCATCAGCCCCGCTTGCTTCAGTGGTTGGAGAGGGTTCCAGAGAAGGATGGGGGCCCAAGTGCCATTGAGATTTGGGGGGAATTGAAGGCTTCTTATACATTTACTGATCTCAAAGCTTGGCTTGACTCCCATAGGGAGGGGAAGGGGAAAGGGAAGGGGAGAGAGATAGAGAAGGGAGAGGAAAGAAGAAGGGGAAGGGGAAGGATAAGGAAACTGGGGGATCCAAGAGATCCCACAAGAGGGATCATCCTAGGTAGGCTTGGATCAGAAATTTGTAATAGTATCATCATATGTTGCCCTTTTTTAGTTTGTTTGTATTATGCATCTCTGCCTGTGTCTCTGCTCTCAGTGCTTCTGCCTTGATGATGAGAGTTCTATTCCTCATCTGCTTAGTTATGGGATTTGGAATTTCTGGGGTAGGTGCAATGCCTGCACAGGCTGCACTAGCTGAAAACCCATTTCCTGCTATTTCATTCAAAGTCATGAATGAATTTGTGACCACCAATTTTAGTTCAAAGATTTCCTTAGCAACTGTATTAATGGTGTTATTCACACTGACTGATAACCCTGATCTTCTAAATCTACATGCAAGGCAGAAACACCCAGTATATCCTAAAGAGCAGAAAATTTATGCATCTGGTTGGATGAGATCATTGGCACGTGGGGTACAATTTCGACTAGGAAAGGATACTAGGAGGCTATTTAAATCTTATGAGCATCATAAAGATCTTGATGATAACAAATTTATCATTGCTCTTGCATTGAAGCTTGATGCATTTGCTGAAGCACTGGGGCTTACTCCTTATGATGAGAAGGGTAAATTTCAGAGTCAATTGCAGCCTGTATCTTATAAAAATATTCAATCAGTCCGCACAATTTGCCCTTCTTCATTTGTATGTGAAGATATGGATTGTGAGCCACGTGGACTTCTACAAGCTACAAAACCAAGAGATGTTCCACTTGTGACTCTGATTAAAGGATCAACCATTTATGAGAATGTTTATGTCTTATCTGGAAAGTGTTCAAAATGTGACTCACTATACTATGCAGACCATGAGAGAGTCAAGGGACCACATGGCTTTATTAAAACATATCTCAACTCTGCCCAATACTTGAAAGTTGGTAAAACAACTTGGGTTGATCGTATATTTTCTAATGCAGTTATCAGTGGAGTATATAGTTTCCATGCATCTGCTGCTGCATACACTGAATATTGGAATCATAGCTTTGGGAATATGCACTCTCAGAGCAAGGCTTGGGTTACCCGCCGCCAAATCTGGCAAGCCTTTGTCCAAGAATCAGTACGATCAATTGCTTCTATGTCACGTATGAATTTAGAATTGAGAGATCAATTATCAATTGATGAAGTCACAGCCGAAGCATTTTCAATATTAGGTGAAAATGGTCTAATAAGATCTGCTCACAATCACTCATGCTCTGAGTGCACACAACCATATAAAAAACACCCTGGATTTATTCCACAGCAAGATCCAGCTGCTGTAGTTGGTGTGGATGAGGGCCAGCAGGTGCCTGGATTAAGGTCTGAAGTTCCTACATTAGAGACTGAGGGCATTGATCTTGAGGATAACAATATGGATGTGGATAGTGATGTGGATATGAATGTGGATATGGACCATGCACCTGTGAAAATGGTTGTAATGGATGGAATTGTCATGGGGCCAACAGTAAGTCTATGACTATTATTATATGTGGATCTAACTAAAATATATGTTAGCATTGTGGATATGATGATTGTACAAATGATCTGGATAATTCCCGTGGTGGAGCATTTTGTGCATACCACAATATTGTCTATGGCACACGCTGTCGTGTGCGTGACTGCCAAGACCAAAGAATAGGTCAAACTCAGGCATGTGAAAAGCATCAGAGAGAGTGGTTTAAGTATCAGCAGGAGCATAGTCGGCAGACTCTGATGGGAGTTCGCAGGATACTTCAAAGGCCTAGTGAATCAATGCCATGGCAGCCAGCTCTCCAGAGATATGATCAGCCACATGATGAGAATACATCAGAGCGTGAGAAGAAGAATTATTTCAGCCCTTCACGCTTTTATTGTGTTGAAACCATTTGTGCACCATGTGGTGTGGTCATTGCCTGGACCAAGTTTGATAAATCTGAGTCTCCAACCAAGATTTTGAAATTCCTCCATGATGTATATCCAACAGAAGAATCCCGTCCAGCTTACATCTGTATTGATAAGGCATGCCTTGTGCTCAGAACAAGTATTGCAAATAAAAGCTGGGATATGTGGAGTAAGACAAGTCGATTTATTGTTGATTCCTATCA